ATAGTAATAGTAATAGTAGTAGTAAGGGTAATAGCAATAGAATTTGTACTGGTATTTGTAATAGTAACAGTAATAGTAATAGCAATAACGAAATAAGAAGAATGATTATCATTCTTCTTATCTTCACGAATATCAGTATAATTAGCAGAGTCGCAGACGTCCTCGTTGCAGTGGTCGTGGTAGTTGTAGTCGTAGTAGTAGTGGTTTTAGCGGCGGTATGGAACAACTAGGGTCCTAAGCGCAGAACACGGAACCGAGGCCTAAACCTTCTCCCAGAACCCCAAACCCCTACATTCTGAACCCTAAAACCTAAACCTTCTCCCAGAACCCCAAACACCTACATTCTGAACCCTAGAACCTAAACCCTAAGACCCTAAACCCAGCCTGCCATACCGTGTCCCGAATCCACTACTTTAACTTATAGGAAAGCCTTAAACAAGGTACTCTGAAATCGTCAAGAACATTGAAGTAATGCGTGTCTTTATACTTTGAGGGCCCGAAACCCCAAGCCGGAAAGCCCCAACACCCCTCGAAACCCCAAAGGCCCTAAGCCCCAAAAAATGCAAACTGCTTCAAAGCGCTGCAGGAACTGGGCGGGGTGCCAGCGCGCCGTGGCCCAGGCGAAGGCGGCGGCCGTGGGCGCCGCGACGAAGAGTGGGGCCTGCTATGGGCTTTTGCTTGTTGTGTTGTTATTGTCATTGTTACTAGTTTCTGGGCTTTTTGGTGATTCATGGTTTTGATTGTTGAGTCAGAGTTTAAAACCTCTGGGGGTTTCATTCGGGTTTAGCTTTTAGGGGGGTTAGGGGCTTTGTGGTTCCAGGCGTTTACGGCTGTAAAAATTCGGGGCAGGGCTTGAGCATTTTGGGGGTACGCGCTACGCCTACAGGATCCTACAAGTTTCGGGGTGAAGGCTTTGAGTTAAAAGGAGTGGGTCCCTGCGAGTGTTGCCCCGGAATCACCGCACCGGCAGCCTCAGGCAAAAAAAGAGCCACAAGCATCCCATCCAGACCAGGATTCCTTCATACTGGCTATGGCTCCTACTCCAAAACCCTCAGTCACTCCGAGGCGATCTGACAGTGGAAGCAAACGCAGACCGCGTGGACAGCATCGGCCGGTTGTCCAGGCTTGTAGCTTGGGTTCTTCTTGTGGGGTATAGGGTTCAGGGCCTAGGGTCTCTTATAATGGGGAACAGGGCTCAGGGTTCTTCTGATGGGGTTAAAGGTTGTAGGGTTCTTCCAGTTAGTTCCCGGCGGCAAGGAGAGCCGGATGCAAACAACACGAGTGGCAATCATCGTCATACTAGTAATAATGCAAACGGTTGTGCATCGTAGTTGGGTTTTGTAGTCGAGTGTTGTATACCAAGGTGGAAACGATAGGAGGACACCTTTTTTCAAAACTATTTCGGTACATCTCTCTCCCTCGGCTTATGTGGCGAGCCAGCCTATCATCCCCAACGTCCTTGCTGAAGTCTATAAGTCAGCCGCCAACCTGCCCAACATACTCCTACCAAACCCTAAACCCCAAACCTAAATTTAAGAGCCTCCGGCTCAGGCCGCCGACCCCATGGGCGACAGACCAGAAGCCGAATCCCTAAACCACGCCCAAGACCTAAGCTGATTGTCCATGCG